ATAGATAGACAGACAGACAGACAGATAGATAGATAGATTAAAAAATGATAAATAAATAAACATACAGATAGAAAAGAACGACTGGTGCGCTGGAGCTCAGCTGGCAAAACATGAACAAACTGCGTAACTGGCAGAAGAAGAAAGAAGCTCCACAGGGCAAAAATACTTTCTCACCACAGCAACTCTTTATTATCTCTCCTCTCCTGTGTTTGTTTTAAAGGCCGTTTGATTTATGAGTATTTTTAGACGTCTGTCTGTGGTGGAGATGACGCTGGAATGTCTTTATATGCCACTACAAAGCGGTGGAAGGGCTGTCTCATCCCCAGCTGGTTTGCGGTTTAGACAGACGGACGGACGGCTCGGACTATTGTCAATAATCTGTTTGTGTGTGTCACCGTTTCTCCAAAAACCAAATGAAGATGTGTCTTTTGGGGTCGGAACCGATGTCATTTTTAGATTTCTGCCTCTTTGTGAGATAAAAATACCCAGCGGAGATGATAGACTGCGCCGGACGGTCTCTACGCTGGCCAGAGATAATGATTAGCTTTACGCCGGGAGAACTGATGAGAGCGACTCGTTCTGAGAGGATTCGTGAGAGCAGCTTTGTGGGATTACAGAGCTGAATGGCTGAATCCAGCCGTTATTTAACTGCTTTCCTCTTTTCCTTTCTGCTGAAGGCCACACAAGCCTCCTCAGACCTCAGGCAGATATATAAAGTTTGGAGTCAGTAAGATATTAGTACTTTTATTCATGCATTATCTTGATCGAGAGTGCCAGTAAAGACATTTATAATGTTACAAAAGATTCTATTTCAAATAAATGCTGTTCTTTTGAACTTTCTATTCGTCTGTGAATCCTGAAAAATAAAATGTCACAGTTTCAGCACAACTGTTTTCAACATTGATAATAATCAGAAATGTTTCTTGAGCAGCAAATCAGCATATTAGAATGATTTCTGAAGATCATGTGACACTGAAGACTGGAGTAATGATGCTGAAAATTCAGCTGCAGATAACAGAAATAAATTACATTTTACAATATATTCACATAGAAAACAGCTATTTGAAATTGTAATAATAGTTCACAATATTCCTGTTTTTACTGTATTTTTAGTCCAATAAATGCTGCCTTGGTGAGTTATATTTATAAAAAAAATTATAACATTTTTACTGTTATTTTTATCAATTTAATGCATTATGCATAATTGTTTTATTTATTTATTTTTTACAAAAATGGGTGGATTAAGAAGTGTATTGAATTGACACCATTGAAGTCCATGTCTGTCTCAGAAAAAAATAATAATAAAGGTAATTGCAACTTTTTATCTCACAATTCTAAATTTTTTTTCTAAATTCTGTGGTGGAAACAGGCTTCCGTGAATATACATTAGGCGCTCAAATATAAAGTGTGTATTTTATTTTTCTTGCTGTAATCATGCCTGTAGATGATAACTTGTCTCTATTGAAAGTGCTCACTCAGAGCATCCTAAAGACGACCTGAGCGCCTGACCTCTGACCTTTAGGGCAGGATTCTGTCATTTCCACTCTTCTCCTCCACTCCTCTGTTTTTCTCCCTCATCTCTGGGTTTGATTGACGCGCACCAGCCCTTCTGCACGGATGACATCAGTGTCTCTCTGCTGATCTGCCAGCTGCTGATGTCACGGCTCAGTTTCACGCTGGTATTTCCGCTCCGTTGAGCGGGATGCAGGGATGCTGGCGGGTGAGGCGGGTCACGGCCAGCCTGAGCATCCCAAGGGAACCATCCCGCTGCTGGAAGCTTATTTGGGGAAGGGTCCAGTGCATCCATGGTTATGTCCCAATTTGCATATATATATGTATACACAGTATATAGTGAATATGCTGGACAAATCACCTAATTAATATTCATGAGCCTGTAGCATACCCCCTTTCAACATTCTCTCTCTCTCTCTCTCTCTCTCTCTCTCGCTCTCTCCCTTTCTATGTCACTTCTATCTTTTTGGTTTTCATTGATGAGGGAACTATTAGTCAAATGTTCTCCCAAGTGTGTAGGAAGTTGCCTCTTGAGCATCAAAGAGCCGTTGCACGCTGAAGTTTCAGCTTCATGAACTCGTGCATGTGTGTCATTTGAATGTGATGCTGCTGCTGTATTCAGAAAGACGAAGAGTGACTTCATTTGATTCCACTTTAGTTCATCGGGGAGAGTCACATGAAGCAGATTCTTCACTAAATGTGTTTAGATTTCTAAAAGGATGTCATCGTATTCTGACAGGACTGAAATCACAAAGTAAATATCCATGAAACATTTGCTTGATCTGTGTGGAGATTTACTGAGCAGATGTTGTGATGACATCTGAATCTCTCTCTCTCTCTCTGTGTGTCTGCAGTCTCACCCGCTGTCTCTGTGTAACACCAGCGAAGATGACCGTCAGGAGACCATCTTCATCAGCATCGTCAAACTCGAGAGTCCAGAGAGCAAAGTGCCGCAGTGCCAGCCGCTGCTGGATAAAGTAAGACCGATGGGAAACTCACACACACACACACACATACATATGAAAACTCTGGAGTTACAGGAGTTTTAAGCTCACTTATCATGTTTGTCCAGGTTTTGTGCACCAGAAACCATACGTCATATGTTGTTTTTCTTGGTCATTTTCCGTCCTCTCTGACCCTTGAATGAAACGGGCTGAATGAGTCTTGAGTTGTTTATGTAAATGAGCTCTGTTGTGATTGGCTGCGGTTCAGCCTGTCATTCATCAGAGCAGGTGAAGTTGCCGTCAAATAGATGTTAATATGTAAATGTGGGAGTTACGTGTCAATCTGTGTTATTTTAGTGTCATTTATGTACTATTATAGTATTGATTAATATTTAGACTTTTTTTTATTTATTATGTTTTAGTTTTCGTTTTAGTAATTTTGTGCTATTATTTTTTTATTAGCTTTAGTTTTTTTAATATTTTTATTTAGTTTTCATATATCGTTCTATATCAGTTGTAGTTTAATTTTAGCACTTCCAAGTGCAAGCGTTTCATTTAATATTTTTTTCAGTTTAGTTTTATTTCCATTAATGAAAACAATTTGTAATAGTTTTCTTTTTAGTTATCGGTAACAGCACTGATGTTAATCAGTATAGTACTTAATACTATTTTGGCTTTTCATTTTAGTTGGAAGTTAAGGTTTAGTAATTTTGTTGTGTGTATTATTTTATTTTTATATGGCTATTTAGCGGTTTTAGTTTTAGTAATTTTAGTACTTCAACTAAAACTTATTTTATTATAGTTAGTTGGCAAGGCAACATTTTACTTTTCATTTAAATTTAAGTACAACTTTTCCCATCTAATATTTTTATTTTTATTTATTTTTTTATAAATCATAGATTTTTTTCAAAGGTCTTCATCTAATGTTTTTTTATTATTATTATTATTATTATTATTATTTTACTTTAGAGTTAATTCAGTTGACAAAAATGCTTTTCAATGGTGTTAGTTGTAGTTTTACTGAACAGTATCAACCATGACATTAATGAGCGTGTGGCTGTGATGTCATAATTCTGAACAAGATGTTTTTGAATCTTAGGTCCAGAATTCTTGAGCAGTTTGTTATGGCATGTATTGAAAGCATGTGCACGCTTGTGTAGGATATGCGTCTGATCACAGTGTGGATGGAGTTTGTGTTGTGAATTGGTGGCACAGCTAACGTTATCTGGATGAGTGAGCTGATGGTCTGTGAAAGCGCAGGAGGCTCGTGCTTTGTGCCGTTTCCTCAGGACTCTGGCGCTGGATGTGAGAGATGTCAGATGCTGCTGTCACAGACTGAAAACATCAAACCGTCTCCTCCAAACTCCAGTGAGCTGCTCCTGTCTCCCAGCTGAAGAATCTGCTCCTTTCAGTGTGAACTTCAGTTTCACAGCCACAACACACAGAGAATTTAAACTGGAATGACAGGTGGCAGAATTTAGCTTTGGGCTCAGTAAGATTTATTTTTTATTGTTGAAAGAAATGAACACTTTTATTTATCAAGGATACATTAAATTGGTAAAAAATGGACAGTAAAGACATTTATAATGTTACAAAAGATCTATCGTTCTATCATTTTATCTCATTCTGCCGTTCTCTTGTCCTATCTATCTATCTATCTATCTATCTATCTATCTATCTGTCTGTCTGTCTGTCTGTCTGTCGTTCTATCGTTCTATTTGTCTGTCTGTCTGTCTATCTATCTATCTATCTATCTGTCTGTCTGTCTGTCTGTCTGTCGTTCTATCGTTCTATTTGTCTGTCTGTCTGTCTGTCTTTCTGTCTGTCTGTCTGTCTGTCGTTCTATCGTTCTATTTGTCTGTCTGTCTGTCGTTCTATCTATCTGTCTATCTATCGTTCTATCATTCTATTTGTCTATCGTTCTGTTTGTCTGTCTGTCGTTCTATCGTTCTATTTGTCTGTCTATCTGTCTATCTATCGTTCTATGTTGTCTGTCTGTCTGTCTGTCTATCTGTCTGTCTATCGTTCTATTTGTCTGTCTGTCTGTCTATCTATCGTTCTATGTTGTCTGTCTGTCTGTCTGTCTGTCTATCGTTCTTTTTGTCTGTTTGTCTGTCTGTCTATTTGTCTGTCTGTCTATCGTTCTGTCTGTCTGTCGTTCTATTTGTCTGTCTGTCTATTTGTCTGTCTGTCTGTCTATTTGTCTGTCTGTCTGTCTATCGTTCTGTCTGTCTGTCTGTCTGTCTGTCTATCGTTCTCTGTCTGTCTGTCTATCCAGCTGTCTGTCTGTCTGTCTATCGGTCTCTGTCTGTCTATTGTCTATCGTTCTCTGTCTGTCTATCGTTCTCTGTCTTTCTGTCTGTCTGTCTGTCTATCGTTCTCTGTCTGTCTATCTATCTATCTATCTATCTATCTATCTATCTATCTATCTATCTATCTATCTATCTATCTATCTATCTATCTATCTATCTATCTATCTATCTATCTATCTATCTATCTATCTATCTATCTATCTATCTATCTATCTATCTATCTATCTATCTATCTATCTATCTATCTATCTATCTATCTATCTATCTATCTATCTATCTATCTATCTATCTATCTATCTATCTATCTATCTATCTATCTATCTATCTATCTATCTATCTATCTATCTATCTATCTATCTATCTATCTATCTATCTATCTATCTATCTGTCTGTCTGTCTGTCTGTCTGTCTATCGTTCTCTGTCTGTCTATCGTTCTCTGTCTTTCTGTCTGTCTGTCTGTCTATCGTTCTCTGTCTGTCTATC